TTCAGCTAGAAGTATTTTCTTATAAGCAACTTATAAGTTCTAGTATTTATAAAATGATCTGCTAAAGAAGAATCATGATATCTTTTAATAAGTTCTATATATAGAAACTTATTCATAGATATATAAATCTGACTCTCTCTTTATAGAAGATTATTTAAGTCTCTTTAATTCTTTATTTCTGCAGAATTGATCTCTATTATAAGCAGTTTCTGAATATACTGAGTATATTTATTCTTCAGTTACAGTTCAGACAATCTGAATAAAAGATCTTATAAAGACTTATACTCTGTTTTCTCTTATATCAGATCTTCTACAGTACTTCTCAAAGTCTGTAAATTCTTCAGATTATAGATACTCTCTTCAAGAATTCTTATAGAAATTCTCAGAGTGTTAACTCTCAGTGTTATAGAGAGTAGTTATACAGGCTTCTCTTCTTTCTCTTCTCTCTTCTCTTATAGAGAATTAAGAGACTCTTCAGTCAATCTCTTTATAATACTCAGTTTAAGCATCTTATAAAGCTTTTCTATCTTCTTTAGTCTTTCTATATCTATCACTCTGACTTTCTTAACATAGTCTGATCTGTGAGAGAGTTCATCTGCTAAGTTCTTAGTTTTCTTAATATATTCTATCTTAAATCAGAACTTACTCAGTCTCTGAGCTCAGTGAATCTATTACTGTAAGAGTTTCTTAATTAAAGTAAACTATTATAAGCTGTTATAATCAGTTCTAACAGTAATTACTGTTATAAGACTTTTAAAATAGTGATATCAGTAATGAAAGAACTTCACTATTATAAGAAGCTTCTGATTATAAATATTATAGTTAATCTTTATAAGTTATATCTTTTATAAGAAAAAGACTACTGAAACTCAGTTTTTATTTAACTATAGTTATAAGACTATTTCTGAAATTATAAAGAAGAAGATATCTATCTTTAATCTGATTAAGAGTAAGAAATCAAAGTAAAACAGTATCACTATATCTATAAATATCTATTTCAATCTTATAAAGACTCTGTAAGCTTCTAAGATAAGAAAGTTCTCACAGTTCTCTCTTCTCAATAATCTTTTTATTCTTTATTTATAGAATAACTTCTTCTTATTTTCACTCTTCAGTATATCTATAAGAGTCAAGAAGATTCTTATAAATACAAAGATAAATTATCTATAGAAATTTACAAAGCTTAGAAAGATCTGAATCTTATAAATACTAGTTAGCTCTGATTATAATAGAATAGTCTTAACTTATAAAGATTTTATCTGAATATTATCTACAGTGATTACATATTCTAGAAAATTAATCTGATAAATACTGAAGTTATACTTTATAAGCTTAATATATAGTTCTGTCTTATCTAAGATCTTTAATACACTTTATATATACTCAGTGTATTCTTTCTTCTTTATAAAGTATATTATCACATCATTCAGATATATTATTATAAAGATATTTAAATATATATAAAGTATTTTATTAATAAAAGACTGAAATACTGCAGAGATATTAATCAGATTAAAAGATATTACTAGATATTCAAATAATTTCAGTACAGTTTTAAAGACAGTTTTTTATTTATTCTCAGACTGTATTTACAGCTGTATATATATATTAATTATATTCAGTTATATAAATATAACAGCTCTTATAAAACAGTTGATTATATTCTCAATCAGAGATAGAGAATAGTGACTCTTTATTATCTTGAAGTTCAGATTACAGTAGTCTATATATAATCTAAGATCTTTATTCTTCTTCTTTATAAATATCACAGAGGCTCTTACAGAGATTTATAAAGATTAAATAAAGCTATTC